CGTCCTTGTAGTGCTCGAGACAACGCTGTGGGCGAGTAGAGGACAGTACAGTGGGGTAAGTAAATCAAATTAGCGAGATAAAACAACTGGGAATGAGTAAATCTCGCAGAAAACAAAGTGTGCGCGTCTCTCACGCTGCATGTCCTGAACGTGCGCGCTTGACAGCGTCCCGCCTTGGCTGATGCCAAACAGAGCTCTCGTTAGATCTGATTGGTTCATGTCTGTGAGAACTTTCTCGGCTCTTATAGAGATTCCTCTTCAAGCGGATTGGGCAGAAGGCTTGCCAACCTTAACGGGATGCTATAAATACACGCAGCCTTTCAGTGAGAATGACTTGATGGACACGAATACATTTTCCTCGTGGCTGATCGTGTTCACTTCCTCTTCCGTGTTGATGCTTCGGGGGACAACAGTCAGACAGGCATATAATTCCAGAAAATTATAAGTACTAGGTCTGATACTGACAAAAAACACTCCAGCAAATACAAATGATCGAGTAGCTTTGTTTGAAGTTCGATGCAAATTGTCTCTAGGATTTATTCCGCAAAGGGGTAAAGGGCATGGTCATTCATCTGTGGCTAACTCTATTAGAGAGCCTTTTAAAGAAGAAACTAAATTAGACATTTTTTTCGATTGATCTAAAGTAGACTCGATGTTATGGAGATTCCTTTTGCTCCGGCGAGGTAGTTCCGTGTTTGTGAATCTACACGCATAGTCCAAACGAACATTTGTATAAGAAAGCTATATCGAACTACCCACGTTGATAAATGCCTTCAGATGTGAAAAACACAAAGTTCGGTAGTCATCTCTTTTTGATAACCGATTGAGAACACTGAAGAGCGTAAATTATTGGCAGACATTTCAAGGACACCCAGAGACTCCGCAGACTTCGCCACCATCGCCAGACATTTTATAGAAGTAACCTCCTCTGGAGGCATCTGTGACGTTTCTATCCACGAAATAAAGTGAAAAACCTCTTCCAACCACACTTTAAGGAATCCAAGCGACGGAAAATTGCTATTGAATTATCAGGTGATACCATTTTGGAACACGTAAGCAAGCATCAGACAGCGGGCTGCCAGAAGGGCGAATACTATGAACGCGCTTGACAGCATCCCGCATTGGCTGCGGCGCTGCTACAAAGAGCCCACGTTGGATCTGAGTGGTTTACGCCTGCGAGAAGTTGTTCGGGTATCTGGAGCTTCTGCTTCAAGCGGATTGGATAGAACATAGCCAATCATAACGCAATGTAATAAAAAACAGTCTTTTAGTGAGATGGACCTGTTGGATTACCTACCCTAACACAATGATACCAAAGAAGTTTGAATGGGGGTTTCGCGTTGACTTCCAAAGAGATTAGAGCGAACACAAGGTTTGGGTTAGAATTATGAACCGAAACTATTTGCCTACCCCAGGAAGACCGCCTGTATTACCAGGGTCTTTCAATGATATTTTACTCATGCCGTTTTATTTACGCAGTTATTTGCATGAATAGACCTTGTACTTTTCCCGCACTCATCAAGGCGGACACGAATTTTCGTTCTTATTGAGACAATTGCACCTTTTGGGGAGAGTAGAATAACTCTCACCACGTTTTTTTCATGTTTTCACTGATTTGAAGGTCACTAATTTGAAGTTTTGGTCGGTGCAGTTGGGAAAGTTTCTAAATTCTAGTGATACTGTTTTGAGACACGTCATTAAGACCATGGGTTACCTACCGTACCACGATCATACTGACAGTGTAACCATCGATTTCGACAAGGTCCACCGCGGTGACTTACGCGTGAATTAGTTTAAGGAGCAGTAGGTTTGCGTTGCACTACCGCATGACCGCACACTCTCTCTTTCCTAATTCACCCAAACCCGGTGACCAAGTAGAGTCAAGAAGACCGGGACAGAAAAGGGCGCACGTAGCTGGTGCGGTAGGAGTCGCCCCCATGCATGCCGTCACATCTATCTCGGATCCTAGCTGTGTGGAAGTGCCATAAAGGCCACATTAAGGAGGAGCCACCGCAGCCTGATTCTCAGTCCGTGAGTCAACCACTCCACACAATACAAAAACACGCTTGGTTGACCGCGCGGCCCGAGTTTCAAATCAACTGGTAACCTTCCAAACCACGGCTTTTAGCGCACCGTGAGAGCTTCACGTGAGTCAAATAGTTTATAGTGAGGAAAAAATGCGCTGAGTCGTCGACCTTACTGTCTCTCTCACCTACAGTATCAGGCCACCATCCAAGCCAGCCAGTTGTCCGATGCGGGGTGGGTACAGTTGCTGATAGGGTTGGCGAAGCCGTCCGCGCGATCTGGCCCCCGTGACACACAAACAGGATTTACACAACCATAGGGTAAGAAGGGGCGATCGCCGCCTGACTCCTAGTCCACAATGATACTAAAGATGCTTGGACGGGAATTTGAACCCTGACCCTCCCTATTGCGATACACTCACGCTAATTTCCAGAAGATTATAGCT